AAATGCTTGCTATCATTGGTCATTAGACAAATGCAAATCAAAACCACATTGAGATACCATCTTATGCCAGTTAGAATGGTGATCATTAAAAAATCTGGAGACAACGGATGCTGGAGAGGATTTCTACACTGTTGGTGGGAGTGTAAATTAATTCAACCATTATGGAAGACAGTGTGGAGATTCCTCAAGGATCTAGAAATAGAAATTCCGTTTGACCCAGCAATCCCATTACTGGGTATATATCCAAAGGATTATAAATTGTTCTATCATAAAGACGCATGCACATGTATGTTCATTGTGGCACTGTTTATGATAGTAAAGACCCGGAACCAACTCAAACACCCATCGATGATAGACTGGACAAAAAAAATGTGCCACATATATACCATGGAATAGTATGCAGCCATAAAAATGGATGAGTTCATGTCCTTTGTAGAGACATGGATGAACCTAGAAACCATCATTCTCAGCAAACTGACACAAGAGCAGAAAACCAAACACTGCATGTTTTCACTCATAGGTGGGTGATGAGCAATGAGAACACTTGGGCACAGAAAAGGGAACAACAGTCACAGGGCTAGGTTGGGAGGTGGAGGGGAGGAGAAGGGAGGGACAGCAGGGGTGGGGTCAGGGAGGATGGGGAGGGATAACACAGGAGAAATGCCTGACGTAGGCGATAGGGTTGGAGCGGGGATGGAGACAGCAAACAACCATGGCATGTATGTACATATGCAACAACCCTGAAGGATGCAGGTTGTGCACATGTACCGCAAAGCCCAAATACAAAAAAAAAAAATCCCAAAAAATTCCTACCTGCCTATCCACTTCCTAAAACGGCCTAAAATGCTTAATTGGCTATAAGTCTTTTTGACTGAGAGACATAATTAATGTCACACCACTCTGACATCAACATGGTATGAAACAAAAATCTGACCATGGATATTGCCTCTGGTATATCTTGATCAAAAGAAGAGAAAACATAAACTAATAAATGAAATCCTAAGCCCTCCACAGACCAGACAGGCTCCTCTTTGGCCAACAGAACTCCAGGGGAAAAAAACCTTAAAAGCCTAGTTCCCCAGCCATAATGGGATAGGAAGTCAGACATATCCTGCTATGCACCTTCTCTTTTATGGTTTAGACGCAACAACTTACCAATATTAATATTAAAATAAAAATCATAAGACTGACAAAACAGACTCTTTGTAACAATAAAATTTCAAATTATAAACAAGACCTGAGGCCACGGCAGGCAAGAGTTAAGTCACACCACCTACACTTACAAAGTAAACTGTGTTCTACCTGCCATAGGTTTTTCTTTTTCTCTAACAGCTGAACATTGGCCTCAAAATAAATATTATTAAGGCAATTTAACTAACGCTTTACCAGATACTGACTAACCAAATGCAGCCCCTGTTACAGCAGCAATGACTGCAGTTTTAATTAGACAATAGACTGATTTCAGTAACTTTCTCCTAATGAAAAGATCACTGGCCGTAGACTAGTTCTGGTTGATTCATAAATATTACACATTTGCATGACTTTGAATCCTAAAAAACATTTCACATATATGGCCTAATTGTAATGCATTTAAATATTAAGTCTGCACCCTAAAGTAAACATAAGTCATATGTTACCTACATGTTTTTCAATACACCTTCATCAATATTTGTAATTCCTTCTATAATTTATTAAATGTATTATGGTTTAGCCAGCCTGTCATCAGATCTCCATGAGAGCCCCATGTACAATTGACAATGGGAAACAGATTTATTAACTTCCTTTTTTTTATTTTTGAGATGGAGTTTCGCTATTACTGCCCAGGCTGGAGTGCAGTGGCACAATCTTGGCTTACTGCAACCTCCGCCTCCTGTGTTCAAGCGATTCTCCTGCCTCAGCCTCCTGAGTAGCTGGGACTATAGGCATGTGCCACAATGCCTGCCTATTTTTTTTGTATTTTTAATAGAGAGGAGTTTCACCACATTGGCCAGGCTGGTCTCAAACTCCTGACCTTCGGTGATCTGCCCTCCTCCACCTCCCAAAATGCTGGGATTACAGGTGTGAGCCACCGTGCCTGGCCAACTTTCTTATAAATATGGGAGACATATATTCGATAACTAACACCTCTCTAGCCCCTAATTCAGAAGAGACTATGATAATTACAAAGATGGCAGGAAAAGCTATGACTTACACTTTCCTACAACCTTTAGTTTGTCATCTTAATAACCACAATTGACAAAAAAATCCTTTAAAAATTGCCAAAATGTTTTATAAAAACTAATTGGACTTAAGGTAAGACATTAGTGATTCCCTGTTATAAATTAAAATGACTCCCTAAAGTAGACTCAAATTGAGCACCTTTAAAATATTATATATAAACCATTCCAGGTTTCTGTCCTGATTAAAAAATCAATTGCTACTTTAAAAAAGATTGCATAATATATGGTACACTTGTCCTGTCACCTTTCTTTCCATTTACTCTGGCCCTGGAAATGTCTGGACCCGGGGCTTTCTGGCAAGTGACTGTGGACTGTAGCAAAGACTGCATGAAAACATCTTTGTAAAAGAGTTGCGATCATAGATATATCATCCATAAAGCACCTGTAAGACTTCCCAGTATAGAATGGATGGTCCTGTGGGCAAGAGCGAGACCAGACTTGCAACACAGTTGTATCCTCTGTGCAGAGGATGTGGTGATACTCCTCCTTGTGGTTTGGAGCTAGAAATAGGTAGTCCATATTACGTAATGTGGATTCAGCTATTTTCAAGTTCTTAGTGGATTTGATTCATCATTGCAGGAAACTTCTCTTCAGATATGAATCCTGGTCCAGCTGGCCTCCTTCCTACTTTAGATTCTGGTGGCCAGGGTAGCCAAAAATAAACCAGTTGCTTTCCTCCTAACTTAAATAATTAGGTCCAAACAAGGCTGAAGTGTCTGACAATGGAGATAAAAATTACTCCACTTCCCACCTAACCTCCACTGAGAAAAGGAAATTCAAGAAGGGCATTAATCACATGTTTGCATGAATATTGGAAATCTGTGGTCACGGCTCCCATCCAGCAGAGACAGCATGGAAGGTTATGCTGGATTTCACTCTCATGCCTGTTTCTGCATTCTCCCCCCGCCCCCACTGCACAAATCAATGAAATTATTATTGGCTTATATTTTACATTTTCAATTATTGATTATGACATAAAGCACTTATACCAAAAGAACAGAGATAAACCTAGCAGACACTTATGTATGTCCCAGTAAAGTTCAGAAGCTGTTAACATTTTGCCTTATTTAGTTAAATAGATAAGATTACCGATAACTAGAACCCTTTTGCCAATTGCTATCCCTTCCTGTTTTCCTAGAGTGAAAGTTGTAATCATAATTCTGAATTGGTTGTGTGTCATCCTCATATTTTTAAAATTTTAATTATTTTTATTTATAATAAATAAAAATTTCTGAGTTAAAATTTTCACATAAAAATATTGTACACATACTTTTTTCACTTATAGTTTTAAAGATTTATTAATTCAGTTAATATCTGGTTAGTATATTCTACCATGTTTTGCCAAAATTACTTAATCTGATTCTAAACAGAAGAAACAATCATTTAAAGCCAGAATGTGGAACATTCTACATTGCAATTGGCCTGAATTCCTCAAAAAGGTCAATACCGGCCGGGCCTGGTGGCTCAAGCATGTAATCCCAGCACTTTGGGAGGCCGAGGTCGGTGGATCACGAGGTCCAGAGACCGAGACCATCCTGGTCAACATGGTGAAACCCCGTCTCTACTAAAAATACAAAAAATTAGCTGGGCATGGTGGCGCATGCCTGTAATCCCAGCTACTCAGGAGGCTGAGGCAGGAGAATTGCCTGAACCCAGGAGGCGGAGGTTGCGGTGAGCCGAGATCTCGCCATTGCACTCCGCCTGGGTAACAAGAGCGAAACTCCGTCTCAAAAAAAAAAAAAAAAGACCAATACCATGATAAACCAAAAAAGTCTGGAGACTATTCTAGATGAAAAGAGTCTAAAGACACAGAACCGAATACTTTGATTGGATCCATTTTTTTTTTTTTTTGAGACGGAGTTTCGCTCTTGTTACCCAGGCTGGAGTGCAATGGCGCGAGCTCGGCTCCCCGCAACCTCCGCCTCCTGGGTTCAGGCAATTCTCCTGCCTCAGCCTCCCGAGTAGCTGGGATTAAAGGCACGGGCCACCATGCCCAGCTAATTTTTTGAATTTTTAGTAGAGACGGGGTTTCACCATGTTGACCAGGATGGTCTCGATCTCTTGACCTCGTGATCCACCCGCCTTGGCCTCCCAAAGTGCTGGGATTACAGGCTTGAGCCACCGCGCCCGGCCGGATCCATTTTTTTTAAAGCTATATGAGATATTCTTGAGACAGTTGGGGAAGTCTGACTGTTGACGATGTTTGCGGGATTATGGTTATGTAACAGAGTCCTTTCATGGATTTAGTGCATTTATCCTATTCATTGTGTTGTGATTCATTGTATGATAATCTCAGTTCCTTTCCTCATTCCTTGGCTAATGTTTGTTAATTGCATTGTTAAAATTCTCAACAGAATTACCATATTATCTGATTCATTATTTAGTGGAAAAGCATCATAGAACAGCCAAAATAATTATAAAATTGATCAATTTCTTCTTGTAATCTCAAGTTTTGCTCAGTGTAACTTTGAGTCTGTTAATGGGTGCATACTAGTTCAAAAAAGTTTTCCTTGCTTGGTGAATTTTTCCTTTTAACATTATGAAATGCTATCTTTATTTCTAATATTGCTTTTTTGGTTAAAGTTTAATTGGTCTGATACCAAGAGAACGTCCTCGTTCTTAGATGGTAGTGGCTGAAGTATGTAGTGGTGAAGTGTCACGGTGACTTTAATGTACATTCAAATAGCTCAGTGGAACAGAGTATGCTTATGTGTGTGCACAACATATGTGTATATACAGAACTGGCAGTTTTTGCATCTATTATTTTTGGCTTAAGTAAAAAAGCTACTTATTCTGTAAACTGGCAGAAAGAATCTCTCTGGATACTTGTTTTCAACTTTTTTAAAGTTCTTACACCTAGACTGGAAATAAAAACATTTACCTAAAAAGCAAATATTTTCTTCATTAAAAAGCTAAGCTAAACAGATTAAGTTTAGTGAAAACAATTTCAGTGACATAGGAAAACAGTGACGCTTAAGCAGGCTTTTCTCTGGAAATCTATAAATAAATGAGTTTCAGCTTTCTGACTGCAGGAATCACATCTAGTTACCCTGGTGCCTCCATGCCTGGTGATAAGCGATACAGAGTGGGTGCTGTGTTTCTGTTGTTGAGTGACTTTGAACTTGCTTATCCAGCCGTGAGATAGGAAGACGTATTTTTCTTCTTTAGTTAGAGCTTGTATCCTGCCTAGCGCTAACCAATTGCTCACACTCATTACTGTTACTTGAAGACTCAGCCCCAGCCTGTGCAAAATGAATTGGCTCATGGCCAGCTCTTCCATGCTTGGGGAAGCAGAGGGTTTCATGCTGGGCCCCCAAGGGAGATCCAGGCCCTCTGCATTCAGACTCTACCACAGCCAAGCCTGTGGGAGAAGTATGAGACCGGACTTGCCCAGAAAACCAGCCTGTGAGTGTTCCCTGCAGATGCCCAGTCCTGTCACTTGCCCTGGTGGATGGGATTGTACCCTGTCAGGCTAGGGATCTTCTATCCCAAGCTACACGTTTTCTGTGTCCTCATGCACTTTTGCTGGGCTCCAAAGCAAGGTGAAGCGTTCAGAAGCCAATACTGCTGCAGAGGCCCTTGTAGAGTGGTCTCAGGAGGTCAGTGGGGGCCTGGCCCCTCCATGCTCATTACCAGTGCCCACCTGAGAAGGGGGCTAAGCTCTGAGGTTTGTATTCAGGTGGAGCCTTGATGGTGCAGAGAGGTTACCGAACAGTCCACTCCCTTGCTGGTGCCAGGCACACAGGTGATGTCTCCACCACTCAAGTTCTTGCCTAAGGGCCTCAGCACATGGGAGCCTTCAGTAAAACACCCACCTATTACTGGGGTGAAGGGCAAAGTTCTCAGGGAAACTCTGGGCCTGGTTAATCTGAGGTCCAAGTACTTGTTGAAGATCCCCCTTCTGCCTCTCCTGTGGCTTTGGAATGTCATGACTACCTGGGCTGCAGCTCCAGGGTACCTGGAACCCTCCTCTTGTGTGTTGCCCCCCTGCCGTCTGGGTACAGGGCTTTTGAGGCCTGTCTGTGAACAGAGACTGTGTTATCCAAGTATCTGTAGTTGTATACCCTGAGCCTTTTGTGAGGATGGTAAGAGGAGAAAGTTATTTCTGGAGCCGGAGGAAAGGCACAGAAGCCTCTGCTCAGCCCTTGGTCCCCACTCTTCCCCTGGAGCTGTAGCCTGCTTGCTCGGACCCCTGAATCTGCTGCCAGTTTGCTCCTCCATTCTTTTCAGAATAATTTCCTGTGAACAGACAGTGAAAAATGGCTCTGTAGTTTACACCCTTGGCCACAGAACCCGGGACTGGGCATGTCCTTGGTCTGTGTGGGCTCCACTGAGAAGATCCTGGTCCTGTGTTATACAGACAAATTGAAATTGGAAGTATATGCCTTGGAGGTGGGTCAAGGTGTCTCCCACCTGCAGGGAGGGGAAGGACCTGGTAGTAGCTTTCTCAGGGTGAATTAAGTTAATTCTTTAGGAAAGAGTTTCCCTGTAATCACCATAGAACCAAAGGATAGAAGCCTTGGGAAATTTGGGACTAAGGGCAGGAAAATACATTTTTTTCCTCCTTCCTATCTTTGAAAAAATTTTTTTTCTCTTCTGTGCTGGAGAAAGTGACCAATTCTTTCCCTTTCTTCCCTGACCTTGCTATCTGTCCACCTTGAAGGAATCTAACCTGGGCAATTCAGTGGGAGGATTTTTAGCCAGTACTTACAAGATTCCAAGAGAAAGTGGTTTTTCAAGACCTCGATCTTTACTTTCTGTTTGTGGACTCTTGATGTCTTTGCTTCCTTTAGTCTCTTCCTCCAGAATTTTTCATGAGTTCTGAAGCCCTGACATACAGAGGAAGGCCTGTGAGGAGGTTCTTGCATTAATCCTTCCCCTTCCTTCCCTTGATATAGGATCTGCTTAAGGCAGATTAGGGATTGAGTTGCATCTAAGTGCTTAACAGCTGAAGGAGGAGATCAAGGCAGTAACTAATGAAAGCCCTGGGGATGAACTCCAGCCAATCATCTCAGCAGCATAGCAGGACCCTTGCGTCCAAACTGTTCTGTCCCATGATCATTTATTTCTTGGCAGTGACAAACCACTTTGAAATTACACGTTTGGAATTGTAAGGGACAGTATTAGGAGGCATATGCAGCATCACATTCCCTCTTGTACCTGTCGTGTACGTCAATAAATGAACAGGGAACTCTTAGCCAATGAAACCATATGTGTCCTCAGAATTCTCCTTACCATAGTTTTCCAGAGAGTCACTTTCAATTGAGAAGAATTGGCTAAAAGATAAGACCTGTTAGTTATCCCTGGTTTATAGTGTTCTGGTGGAATTAAAGTCAAAGGTTTAAAATGTCATAGTTCTTTTTGTTTGTTTGTTTAGTATTCCATTTTTTCATTTATCAATAATTGAAAACTAAGCATTTTTATTTGGTTTTACTTGTTTGGTTTAGTTACCCTGATACTTCAAACAATTCTCTTATAAAATGTCCTTGTGGACACACTGACTGTGTGGTTATCTTGCACATTTGCTAAAATTACTATCTGTTTTCATTTGTTCCATAAAGTTATAGCTACTTTTATCCTAATGCTCTTTTGCATATGTTTTTTTCTACTTGCATTTTAAACAACATATAAGTATATTTTATTATAGTAATGAGGTTTAATATGAAGCCTCATCAATATTTATTAATGGTGTAGCATTAATTGATGGTAATAATTAATATTAATTTTAATTCACTTACGGTAGGTAGTTATCATGCAAAGAACCTGTGGATCCCCAAATGAAATAAGCCAAACAATAAATAGCAAACCCTCATTAAAGGCTAATATATATTAAGCCCAAGTTCTAATCTTTACTAGTCTTTTATGATATAAAAATCCTTCCTGCAGTTCTGCCAAATAGATATATCACTTTTTTTTGCCTCCATTTTATGGGTTAGAAATGTAAGGCCTAGAGAGCTTCAATAGTACACCCAGAGTTACACAACTAATTTGGGAATCCAGGCAGCTGAGGTCAACTTGGTTTTTCCTGTGGTGGAGAGGTCTTAATGTAAAGCAAGTTAGTGCGGTTCAATGCCAGGAGGTTCATTTTAAATATATAGAATATTTGGTCTAGTGGACTCTCCAGATTTTTAAGCAATGACTTTGAAAGAAATTAAATTAACAAATATATGATTATTGAAATAATCTGAACTTCAAAATTTTATGTTAATCTATAATATTAGAAGCTCACCAAGTCATAAAATGTATATTAACACATTTAAAAATACCATTAAATCAAGTATCTCCTAAAGATGTTTGCTCTAAGCTATAAAGCTTTACATTTTTAAATGCTAAGCATTTGATATCAATTTGCTCCAAGTTTCTATTTGTTCTAGGAGAAAAGGGTAAAGTGTGAGAAATACTATATTTTCTTTTTTTGGTGACTTCTAGAAATTTTATATTCTAGATTTGCAGTGACACTATGAATATTCATCAACTTTTAAGGCCCACATTCAGTACTTCAATGATGATTACTTAAGATGTGTGTTTAAGAAATTTGTATTAATTCTGCTGCTTATGTACAAATGCCTTGGTACCTGTAAGTGGACCAAGCCAATGGTAGGGATGGAAACTTAAAGGGGAAATGACCAAAGGATGTGAATGGCAATCTGTGTCCCTTGGTTGTTAGAAAAACCACAAGAACATCTGAAAATCATTAGTGAGTCTATGGGTACTGTGGGGTGAAATACAGACTATAGGCACTTACTTGGATAATTCCAAATAAGATGACTATGGAGTTTCTTCTTTCGGTCTGAACTTTATAGGTAGGTAGGTGGTTATGATTTGTCTATCTACCCATCCATCCACCCACCCACCCATCCACTACCCATCCGTTCAACAAATAATTACTTGATACCTTCTACATGCTAGGCATTGTTTAGCTTTTGGGAGAGGTTGTTTCCAATCAGGTATGAGGAGACAGATAATAAAATAATAAGATTTCAGCAGACGTTGTGCTATGATAAAAGTGAGAGTTAGTAATGAAAAGAAATGGGGTGATGGCCAAGAAGTCGTGAACATGATCTCTGAGGTAGGTGAATTTAGACCTGAAGGAGCCAGTTTAGAGAAGACCCTTGGCAAAGGAATGCCAGGCAGAGGGACTCCCAGTTATAAGACCTGGGGCTTGTTCTGCTTCTGGAGCCAACAGGGGACTTGAGCCCTTATGGTCGTCAGGGGCAAGTCGCACAAGTGGGATCAGAAAGGTAGAGGTAAAAGAGGCTTTGGGACTGTGAGAGAGTTTGCGTTTTATTCTAACTCAAAAGGGATCCTTTGGAGGGTTTAGATCTCTTTCTTAAAATCAAGACTCTGATTTCCACTGGACAGAGCATACACTGGTTGCTGTTGTAGAATCATTTGTAGAGGACAGGAATTCCAATGATGAGACCAGCTCAGGGACTCTTCTGCAGACAAATAATTGCTCACTGGCATTTATTCGGCCTTAGACATGTTATGGATTAACATGTTATGTTTTGGTAGTGGTGATGGCAACATGTGCTCTGGAAAATATTTCAGACCCAAGTTGTCCACAGAGAAAAAACTAGTTAAGGGTCTCAGCTGCCTTACCTGCTGGCCCAGTTGCAGAGGGAACACCTGCTGGAGTGTATTGACTTACCACTTGGACACCTGCAGGGATCATTTATCACTCTCCATAATAGAAATATTTTCACGGGAAACCAGACTCTCTGTGCTCAGTTACCTGGAGGACTTAAAGGATTTCATCACTGGTGGAAATAAGCTCAATCGTGTGCGACCACAAAGGGATTAAAGAATTGTTTACCTTCTCCTGAGGTGGTAGAGCATGTTTGGCACCTGTGAACAAATGTGTGGGCTGTGGAAGGGGGGTTTGGTGGGGCCTCCCACTGACTTCCTTCTTCCTCACAGAGTGAAGAGGAAAAATGCTGTGGAGTCAAATTCACCTCTCAGGACGTGACAGGGCTATAATGTTAGGTAAATCTGTATTTGGAAAAAAACAAACAGCAAAAAAATTAAAAATAGCAACCCAGGTGAAAAAAGTACACTTTCCTGAGAGATGGAGTCCCAGCCCTAGGAAATGTGTTGTCCCACCATTGATTTCCTAAATAGACTCTTTTGTAAAGACTTAGTTTCCTGAGGTCTGGGACCAGGCTTATCTGCATGTCCACAGTGTTGTTTATACTAGTTTAGAGAAGGCAGTCCTAGGCAGTGTGTGACAAAGAGTCAGTGGGACTCTTTTTTCTTACCCACCTATTCTTATATGTTTATTAATAAAGCATTGCTTTGTTATATTCTAAAAAATAAGAAAAGAAATCCTCCTCCAAAGAAAAGAGAAGAACAGAAAAGGTAAAGTAACAACAAAAAGGAAATAATAATATTTGAGTTGTGAAATTGAGACTGCATTATACTTTTGGTTAATTTAAGGAGAATTGAATGACAAATTTCAATATTATTTTCTACACCAAGCCATGATATTATTAAAAATTATTTAAATCTTTTTTAATGTCTAGAGTTTTAATACAAGAAGATGTAACAAACATGAACATTTACATACTAAAGTGCATTGCATTAAATCATGCAAAGTAAAAATTGGTAGTTTAACAAATCTTCTGTTTCATGGTAGAATTTATTACATATTTCTCTGAATTTGGGAAATCACATAGTTAAAAATAAACAAGAGTATATAGTGGGGAATAAACTAAAATACTTTAAGCACAAACTGGTAAAATGATTGTGAAAGGGAGGAGGTAGGACCTTTGGTAGGACCTTTGGTCAACCGCACAGACTGTACACGACCTCAAGGCAGTCAAAGTACGGGAATTTTTTGAACATAAAAGTAAACACTGTGAACAGTGTAAATACTAGATTTTCACTAGTGTAAATAGTGTGATTACTCTATATTGTCTCAAAAATTAGGAATATATCAAGATATAAAGGTGGAAGTGGAAATCACTTAAAATCTCACCATGCAAAGAGAACCATCAATAATATATTGGTGGCCTTCATTTGTGTATCTCCACATCTATATATAAATATAAATATTTTACATGTATCCTTATAAATATATCTATAAATATTTATATTTACATATTGTGATGGTTAGTTTGAGGTGTCAATCTGGCTGGACTGAGGGATGCCTGGATGGCTGGCGAAGTGTTGTTTCTAAAGGCTTCTGTGAGGGTGTTTCCAAAGGTGATTGACATGTGAGTGATGTGTATGTGTACATGTGAGTGATGTGTATGTGTACATGTGAGTGATGTGTATGTGTACATGTGAGTGATGTGATGTGTATGTGTACATGTTTGTTGTTTATTTTGCATAACGATCACATTTTATCCACTAGTCTGCATTTTATCTCTGTGTAAATTCTGCTAAGCTAACTAATAGTTCATACTCATTAATTTTTTAAAACCCTCACTCTAACCCTAACCCTTCCAACTCATTGACTAGGTTTGAATTAGCTGAATAATATTCTATTGGAATAATACTCTGTTCATTGAATAAAATTCTATTCTATAATATTCTATTGGCTGAATAATATTCTATAAGGTGCACAGATGGGGAAATAAAACTTCCGACGATGGATCAGTGCTTGGGTAAGAAGCTCCAGCTTCTGGAGACCGCGTTAATGAGATTGGATCTACAGCAATTTGTTTAGCTCATTGCTCTGATTCAAAAAGATAATAAAACTTCTCCTTAGCTCTTTCCAGAGGACCAAAGTGTATGGTCTACAATAGGTCTCTAGGTTACGCCCCACATGTCTGGGAGTTTAATGTAGCTGTCTTCCTAGATGTTTGCATTTCAAAAAGCAATGAGCCCCAGACCTTGGTGCCGCCTCTACGTCAAAGGTTCTCTCTGCTCCTAGAGAGATTTTACTTATATAGCAAAGGGTTGGATTAAGGAGGAGACCCTTTCAGGAGAGGAGGGAGACAGCTACCTCTTTCCCATTTATAACGAGGGCATTTATTTTGTCATCCCTGGCCTATGGGATGTCTGGCTGTTGTGTAGAAAAGTCTCTCATCTGACTTTCATAGTGTCAGTGTGTTGCATTGAACTCAACACCAGAACAAAAGTATGCCAAATTGCAGGGTTTATTGCCGGCGACCACGGAGGACTCACGTCTCTCCAACCCGTGGCAGAGAAAGAAGAGTGACAAGACCTTTTTATACCCACAAAACCACCTTGGGAGTGGGGGTGAGGAGCGGAGATGGGAATGAAAGCTGTCAATCACCTCCTAGGCTGAGACGAGGGTGAGGGGGCTCCAGATATTCCAAGGGCCAGGGGACTTTTGTCATTCCGATTGCCACTTAAGTGGTTTACAGAGGTCAAGATAAACATTAGTTTATACATTATTTGGACAGGTGTGGGGTCCACATAATTTTAGGTTACTTGGCTCCAGGATGGAATTATCTGGGGGTGCTTACTTTGGTAAACAAAGGCCAGCAATTCTGGCAGTTACAGATAAGAGTAAGTATGCAGCTTTTCCTCTCTTTGCATTTTGCAAGGTAATCTTAGTAGTTTACAGAAGCCATGGCTAGTAGTCATTGTGAGGAGAATGGAAACAGTTTTCCCATTTTAAAATGGCATTGTGCTGGTTCTAATTCTAGGCCAGCTATATCACAAGTGCAGGTATAGGTCTGAGCTTGAGGATTAAAGGTTAGTGGGTTTGAGGGAGGGTGACATTTGTATATGATAGTAAGTTAATAAATAAGAAATATATTTCTTATCTGGAGTACCTCTTGTGGCCAATGAAGAGGAATATGAAAAACCAAACAGGATGTCTGTCAGTTTATTACCTCCTGCCTTTTTCATAGGCACTCATGTGGTTTACAGATTATAGCTGCTATGAACCATTATTGCAACACGCATCCTATGTGTATATCAGTATATACTGTGTTTGTTTTCTGAAAAGTTCCTATAGTAGTAGGAGGGTTTATGGCTCAGACTGATTATGTTTCATTTGTAACAGATACTGTTTTCCAAAAGGTTCATAGGAAATTAGATTTCTCTTGAGACATGAAAAACCATTCAAAAGATAACAAACCCAGGGGCTGTTTTTTTGGAAAAAATTAATAGGATAAATAGGCTCTAGTTAGACTAATAAAGAAGAAAAGAGAGAGGATCCAAATGAACACAATTATAAATGACAAAGGGGTTGGGACCCCTGGCCTCACAGAAATACAATATGAACATTTCTATTGACACAAACTAAAAAACCTAGAAGAGATGAATAAATTCCTGGACATATACACCCTCCCAAGACTGAACAAGAAAGAAACTAATTCCCTGAACAAACCAATAATGAGCTCCAAAATTGAATTAGTAGTAAATAGCCTACAACCAAAAAAATCCCAGGACAAGATGGATTCACAGCTGAATTCTACCAGATGGATAAAGAAGACTTATTACCATTCCTACTGAAACTATTCCCAAAAATTGAGGAGAATGGACTCCTCCCCAACTCATTCTGTGAGGCAAGCATCACCCTGATACCAAAATCTGGCAGTGACACACATATACACATACACAATGTATATTCATTGCAGCACTGTTCACAATAGCAAAGACATAGAATCAACCTAAATGTCCATCAGTGACAGATTAGATAAAGAAAATGTGGTATACATACACCATGGAATACTATGCAGCCATAGAAAAGAAGGAGATCATGTCTTTTGCAGGAATGTGGATGGAGCTGGAGACCATTATTCTCAGCAAATAAATGCAGGTACAGAAAACCAAATAACACATATTATCATTTATAAATGGTGCTAAATGGTGAGAACTCATGAACACAAATAGGCGAACAACACACACTGGGGCCTACTTCAGTGTGGAGGACAGGAGGAGGGAGAGGATTAGAAAAAATAACCCTTGGGCTTAGTATTTGGGTGATGAAATAGTCTGGACAACAAACCTCTGTGACATGGTTTTACTTATGTAACAAACCTGCACACGTACACCTGCACCTAAAATAAGAGTTAAAACAGATAAATATAAATGACCAGGAGAGAAAAAAGTGATAAAATGACATAATGTAATCTCTGCACTAAAAAAAAAAAAGAAAAGAAATTAGATTTCTCTGGAAATATAGAACAATATACTTCTTCCAAACTTTATCCAATCCTAGCCAACAGTGTGTGTTGTCATGCTGTGCATTTTCAAAACTTTTGCCACTTTTATTGGTAAGAAATTTCTGTCCATTTCTGCCTTCATTTGCAGTTCTCTGACAACTGTGGATGAGACTGAAAATCTTCATGAGGTTTTTGTATTTGGCCTTGTGGGGTGTGTGTGTGTGTGTGTGTGTGTGTGTGTTTGTATTGCGTATTCATATTTTTGCTCATTTTTCTATTAGGATGTTTACCTTTTTCTTGTTTGTTTGTAACAGTTATTTGTATATAGATAACTTATCCAGCTGCAAATATTGTTTCCAAATTATCATTTGCTTATTGATTTTTTTCTTGTTAAAATTTTTATTTAACTTTAAGTTCTGGGATACCTGTGCAGAATGTGTAGGTTTGTTACATAGGTATACATGTGCCATGGTGTTTTGCTGCACTTATCAACCTGTTATCTAGGTTTTAAATCCCACATGCATTAGGTATTTGTCTTAATGTGCTAATGTTCTCCCTCCCCTTTCCTCCATTCTCCAATAGGCCCCAGTGTGTGTTGTTCCCATCCCTGCCCATGTGTTCTCACCACTCAACTTCCACTTATGAGTGAGAACATGCAGTGTTTGGTTTTCTGTTCCTGTGTTAGTTTTCTGTGAATGATGGTTTCCAGCTTCATCCATGTCCCTGCAAAGGACACAATCTCATTCTTTTTTATGGCTGCATAGTATTTCATGGTATATATGTGCCACATTTTAAAAAATTTATTTTATTTTATTGTACTTTAGGTTCTGGGGTACATGTGCAGATCATGCAGGATTGTTGTATAAGAACATACATGGCAATGTGGTTTGCTGCCTCCATCCCCCATCACCTTTATCTGGCATTTCTCCCCGTGTTGTCCCTTCCCAGCCTCCCTACCAGCCACTCTCCATTCCCTAGGCTCCCCAAGAGACCCCAGTGTATGATGCTTCCCTCCCTGTGTCCATGAGTTCTCATTGTTCAACACTCACCTATGAGTGAGAACATGTGGTGCTTGATTTTCTGTTCTTGTGTCAGTTTGATGAGAATGTTGGTGTCCAGATTTATCCATGTCTCCACAAAGGATATGAACTCATCATTTTTTATGGCTGTGTAGTGTTTCATGGTGTATATGTGCCACATTTTCCTTGTCCAGTCTGTCATCAATGGGCATTTGGGTTGGTTCCAGGTCTTTGCTATTGTAAACAGTGCCACAGTGAACATACGTGTGCATGTGTCTTTATAATAGACCGATTTATAATCCTTTTGGTATATACCCAGTAACGGAATTGCTGGGTCAAATGGAATTTCTATATCTAGGGCTTTGAAGAATCGCCACACTGTCTTCCACAATAATTGAACTAATTTACACTCCCACCAACAGTGTAAAAGTGTTCCTGTTTCTCCACATCCTCTCCAGCATCTGTTGTTTACTGATTTTTAAAAAATGATTGCTATTCTAACTGGCATGAGATGGTATCTCAGGGTGGTTTTGATTTGCATTTCTCTAATGACCAGTGATGATGAGCATTTTTTCATATGTTTTTTGGCCTGATATATGTCTTCTTTTGAAAAGTGTTTGTTCATAGCCTGTGCCCACTTTTGAATGGGTTTATTTGTTTTTTTTCCCCTGTAAATCTGTTTTAGTTCTTTGTAGATTATGGATATTAGCCCTTTGCATATACTCATACACACACATGCACATACACACACATGCATATACGCATGTGCACACACACACACACACAAATACAATGATAGAAGAATGTCAATGATAACAGAGCCAATTGAAAGAGCTTCCAAAAGCCAAAGCTGAAACAATTTGAGCAACAAAAGAAAGTAGTATTAGATTATAACCCAAAGTATAAATTAAATATCCATGAGTACATACTTATATAAAGAAGTATTTGGATAAATAAGTAAATGAGGGAGAAAAGACAAATTTCCCATGCAAAACAATTCCAAATAATTTCTGCAGATGCTCCACCCTTGAGCGGAACATAACTTCCCACATCTTAAGTGTGGGCTGATCATATGAAAAGAGGGAAAAAGAATGACTTTAGAGTAGAAAACCTTGACAAATTTTTCTTTGGACACTTTAAGTCAGCAACTACTTGACCTGGGACAGGTGAAGAGATGGACAGGGCACCTGCTCGGCCCCAAAGGTTTCAGTGATGTCCCTCTTACTTTCAAAGGTGTCAAATTCTGAGTCACACCCAGAGAAGGGCTCTCCCTCCACCCGGGTGTGAGGCAACGCTGAGCCCTGCTGCATTAAGGGGTCCAGCTTTTCTTTGGAGCCAAGACCAGCCCGTTAAGGGACTGCTTCTTCAAGACTTCAAGATCTACTCATCTCCTGGCACCTTCATTATTGAATAGAAGCTAGCAGGAATAGGTAAGAAGGAAGAGAGAAAGTATCTTGAATGGCCCCTCAAAAGAGATCTTACCCTTGTAAATCTTTTACTTATACCCCTTCAACATCCAGGAAAGAATGGCATCAAACTAAGGAAGAGCAGGGTCTCCCCTGCCATGTGACCATGGTACCAGGGGCTTTTGGGAGCCCAGTTTCAGTGGATTGTGCTTGAGGTCAAAATTTGGGTAGAACTTATGAGGTATGACAGCTGTTCTTGCCATAGAGATTTTCATACAGATGCCTCAGGTTTGCTGAGACATGAGATAGAAGGTCTCATTGGAAGGTCCAAATCACACTCTGGGTATCCAATGATAGCAGAAGGGAGGACATTTTTCCCAACCACAGTCTCCCTCCCTATACCTTCTCCCACCCTCATCTCCTGAGCTTTTTTGATTAGAGTTTTCCCAGAAGCTGTCACTTCACTGCCACATCCTGTCCTTCTGCAACCCAATTGGTGAATTTCCAAATCTGGGCCAACCCAACCATCCTATTTACCTACATCTGTCTTCAAGTACAAATCGTATCTTCACATTGCCTGGCACTGCGATAAATACAAATTATAACAAAGTTTGCCACTCAAGACCAGGGTTACAATGGCCTTCACAAGCCTCCTTCTTCTGGCCTCTGGCCTCCTCACTCTATTGTTCTTGGTAGCTGTGATGAACTCACTCATTACTCATGAACTCATATGAGTAATGAGTGAGTTCAGGTTGCTTAATAGAGCCTGGAACCACTCTTCCTCCCCTTCCTCCAGCTCTTGCTGTGTGAGAGACCAGCTCGCCTTCATCTTCTGTCATGACTGAAGGCTTCTTGAACTTCCCACCAGAAGCACATGCTAGCACCATCCTTCTTATACGGCTTGCAAAGCTATAAGTCAAGTAAACCTCTTTTTTGTATAAATTATTTAGCCTTAAGTGTTCCTTTATAGTAACCCATGATGGACTAACAATACTGGAAGACCCAACACATCATTATGGTCCAAGCAAGAGCGTATGGGGCTGCATAATAATGAGAGTACTGGCTAAATTCTAGCTAAATTTTATAGATTTACCCAGTGGATGGTCCTCTTCCCTGTCTCTGACTGTATAATTGGATTGGTATTATTGGCCATTGGAGCAGCCCCCACACTGGGCCCTTTGCCTGTGAAGTAAGAGGGCCGCACGGTAGCTGATGAACTGCTCTGATTCACCTAGATAGCAAATCAATAACAATATTGCCTGTTTGCAACGGGCTGGATTTGGGTGGCAGAGATGAGTTCCATTTGTAAAGTTCTTAAATGTTAAGTGGCTGTGGAGTGGAGGAGGCCCTTATGATGTTTTCTTTTAATTCTTCAGTGAAGCCTCTTCAGAAGTAGAATGGATTCTAATGGAGGAATGGAGACCACCATAAGCTCAACCAAGTGGCTGCCCTGATGACAACTGCAGATCCATGTGCACTGTTATTGTTGGAATGAAATCCTACAGCATCAGACACGTGGCATGCAACATGAAATTGGAGAATATGCTCTTGCCTCTTCTGATCAGAACACAAGTCTTAATTGAAGTTGTATGAAAGCACAATATTGAGTAACATTTTTGCCCCAGGATTGTTTATTGTTTTCTGTGATTATGAATAAAGCTGCTGTACACATATGTATGCAGGTCTTTCATGAACCTAAGTTTTTAGAATCATTTGTTTAAATATCTAGGTGCACTCTTGATGGATTATAAGGTAAGACTATGTTTAGCTTTGTAAATGGAAAAACTGTCTTATGCAGTGGCTGTATAAATTTGTATTTTCACCGCCAATTAATAAGAGAGTGCTTGTCACTCTGGATCCTTGCCAGTTATGGTATTGTCAGTGTTTGCGATTTTAGCCATTCGAGTAAGTATGTAGTGGCACTGCATTGTTTTTTTAATTTGCATTTCCCTGATGACAAATGATGTCGATCATCATTTCATATGCACCTTTGCCCTCTAATATGTTTGTTTGGTGAGTATCTGTTCAGATCTTTTTTTTTTAGTTGAGTTGCTTGTCTTCTTATTGTTAGTTTTAAGAGTTCTTTGTATGTTTTGGATATCAGTCCTTTGTTAGGTATGTGTTTTGCAAAGATTTTCTTCCAATCTATGGCTTTTTATGCTCTTAACAGTGTCACGGGGCAGAATTTTTAAATTTCAGCAAAGTCTAATTTGTTGACTTATTTTTTCTTTCATGGATTGTGCTTTTGGTGCCATATCTAAAAATATACCACAAACTCAAGTCATATAAGTTTTATCCTTTGTTTTATGGTTTTGCATTTTACATTTAGGTTCTTGACCAATTTTAAATGAATTTTATTTAAGACATAAGGTCTGTGTATATATATAACTATAATCAACTGAATTGATAATATTTATATGGGGATATTTCTGAGTTCTCTCTGTTGTTTCATTGACTTAGGTGTCTATTTTTTCTCCCGTGTCTTACTGACTTGATTACGATAGTCTTGAAATAATCTAAAGTGAATTCTTCAACTTTGTTCTACTTCAGTATTATTTTTTGCCTTTCTGTATAAATTTTAGAATCAGTTTGCCAATATCTAAAAAATAGCTTGGTGGGAACTTGATTGGGATTGTGTTAGGGTCTCAAAAAGTGACACCTTGGCAACCCTGGATCCTCTAATTCATCGGTACAGAATGTCTCTTCTTCATATCTCCTTTGATGTTCGTTGTTAAGTCTCTTTTTCTCTCTTTTGCGTCATTTATGTTAATGCCTTTTCAAGTTCACTGAATTTTTCCTTTTTCATTTCTATTTTGCTGTTATGCTTATTCAGTGAACTTTTATTTTCAGATATTTACTTTTTCATTCTAAAATTTTTGCTTATTTCTTGTTTCATCTTCCATTTCTCTGCTGAGATTCCCTATCTTTTCATTAATTAGGACATGTTTTCCTTGACCTCATGGAGTATGGTAATAATATGTGCTTTAAAGCCCTTATCTAATAATTCCAACATCTGGATCATCTTCGCGTGGGCATTTACTGATTGTCTTTTATCTTGGGAATGGGTTACATTTTCCTGATTCTTTGTAAATGAGTAACTTTGGATTGTGTCTTGTACATTGTGATTGCAGTTTTTCTCTCAGAGTTTTAGCCACTAATACTGCACTAGTCTTCAACTGTGACCTGCCTTCTGGACACAAATCAGGAAAGAACAATTACAAAACAGGAAGGCTACCCGGTGCCACTCTCCACTTCAAATCCGGACTCTGCTCAATCATCTATGTGCTTGGTTCTGCTCTCCAGAACCCTCAGTAGTCATTTTTCTGCTTTTGGCCCAACTTTATTGTTGTTATTCATGGGATGGTTGGTCTGGAGGGGGCTCACACTCCTACCCCAGAAGAGGACATCCTCCTGCTTTTTTCACTGAACACTATTTCTTGGAGATTTTTTTCCAAATTAGGATACAGACAATATTCTTAACTTTTTTTCCATACACAGGGGACTTCAATGTCCTTAATCTTTTTAATAGTGCATAGTAGTCTACTCTAAGCAGATCCTTCCTGATAAGTATTTATGCTGGTGCAAAGTTGTTTTTTTAGAGACAGACTGCATCAAATGTCCTTGTGCTGCATGCAGTGCTTTGAGGCCTTAGTGGATAAACGTCTTGGGCCCCCGGCTACAGTGGAGACTTTTCTTGGAATCCTGAAAAATATTCATTTCTTTGAGAGTGGCATGATTTCTTTATCCTTCTGGTTGACTGGAGGCCTGGACCATGTTTCTGAGCATATCAGCAGCAAGAAGGCACTGAGGAGAGAAGAGATAACGAGGGATACTGAATGTTCAGAGGTCTTAGTGATTGCGCCAGAGTGTTCAGCTGAGAGGAGCTAGGCAAGTTTGATACAGGAGGACAGTGACAGCCCCAACAACCCCCTCAAAGCTCAGTGGCTTATTTAATTTCCTGTTTCCGAATTGATTTTCTATCAGCAAATAATAAAAAGCCTCTTTGAATAAAAATATTGCAGGTTAAAGGAAAGCTTTATCTTTTTGCTGCCCTCTTCCCCAGTTCCTCTTAGGCAAATAGCTTTTCAGAATCATCACTCAGTGTCCCTTGTTCACATACCTTTAGCATCTCCCTGTTGTCTCTAGAGTTAAAAGTTCCCAGTATTTAGTATTGTGCTCAAGGCCTGCAAGATGCTAATCCCAAATGTCCCCTGATATGCAGTCGCCTTCTAGCTGTGTGACCTTAGGCAAGATAGCATGTTCTCTGAACCTTTATCACCCCATCTACAAAATGGGAAGAGTCATGCTTCCTTCTCAGAGCTGGTGGGCTTAGGTGGAGATGTTTCTGCAGCACTTGGCACCATGTTTGATGTGTAGAAAGTGTCCAGTGGATGCCACCCATAGGTTTGTTATTGCCCAAACTTCCTGCCTGACTCAGATTCTAATCTGAACCTTGTATTTCAGATGAATTAAATGGTCAGTTTTCACACAGAGAGAAGCATATTTTGTTGGTGGTGGCCACTGATTCATAGCAATGCAATGTCATATTGATGTTAGCAACATATCAGATTTTTTCTTTTCTGTCCGTAGAAGACATCCAGGCATCCTTCTGAGATTTGGAGATGTTGTTTTGCTATTTTCTTTCTTGTCTTCCCCACTCACCTATTCTTTTTCTTTTAAATAGCAATTAAGATTTTTTTGGTATATATTTCTTCTGGTGTACAGTTCACCTGTACACCAAATATCCTAGTCTCTTCTCAGCTGGTTGGAAAGCATCTCCCACAGTTGGGTGCTCTGGTGCAGATGAGCTCACTCTCCATGGTGAGATGTGGTGTGGTGGGACCAGAACATGGGCCTTGGTGATGGTTCTTCTGTTGGCTGCCCGAGCCCAGGGGGCAAATACAGACTTCATGTGACTTAATGTGCACAGACAACTACTTAACCACATTAGAGAACAGAAATGAAAGAAATAGAAACCTGCTAATTTTAACCAACCTTCCCTGAGCTCCTGCTGTGTTTCTGGCACTGGATGGAAGAGGCACAGCTTCCAGAAGTTTGCAGGATGGTGGGAAGGGATCTATACACAGGCACTGACACCCACATATGCCCTGCAGAAGTAGCCAGAGGAAGGATAGATAAAAGCCAGGGTGGAGCATGGACTCTCTTAGGTCATGATGATGTCTAGGGAGTTTCTAGGATGAAGAGGATTTTGAAAGGCAGATAAAGGTAGAAGGGCATAGCAGGTGAATGAGCTGGCATGTGGTGGGCCATGGAACAGTGCACTGCATTTGGGGGGGGCTGGGTCTGATGTGGTTTGAAGGATAGCAGTGGGGAGGTTAGGTGGCCCTAGAGTCTTGGCTTCATTATGTGGCCTTTGAGAATCCCAGAGGGTTTTCAGTGGGATTCAGTGAGATCAGCTCTAAGTTCTCAGCTGGAGGAAGGCAACTCCTTAAGAAGCTCTTTCTGAACTTCCTGTGAGAGAGAAGGCAACACTCTCAGCGTGTCGTCAGTTCAGTTAATGGAGAGGGACAGAATAGCTCAACTGGAGACATCAGCTGATCCTAGAAAGGAGGTTGGGCATGGGCTGAGGATGAGGGGAGGAAAGGAGGGGAAAGGGAGTCACCTGTTTTACTTTCGATGTGGCTGTCACCTCCATGCAGATACGCTGATTGCTTCTGTTCTGGCTTTCCCACATTATATTACATCCCAAGCATCTTTCTCATGTTACTAAATAATCTTCTTAACTGCAATTTTTAGTAGCAACAAAATATGGAGTTAAAAGCCTTATTATTGACTTTATTATTCTCCTATTATTATTATTATTATTATTTGAGACAGAGTCTTGCTCTGTCACCCAGGCTGGAGTTCAGTGGCATGATCTCAGCTCACTGTAACCTCCACCTCCCAGGTTCAAGGGATTCTCCTGCCTTACCCTCCCAAGTAGCTTGGACTACAGGCACATGCGATTGCTCCTGGCTAATTTTTGTGTTTTTTGAAGAGACAGTGTTTTACCATGGTGTCCAGGCTGGTTTCAAAACTCCTGGGCTCAAGCAATCTGCCTGCCTCAGCCTTTCCAAGTGCTGGGATTACAGGCATGAGTTACCACAGCCAGTCTGTTTTCCTGTTATTAGTAGATATTTACATTATTTCAATTTTTACTTTTATACACTGGGTTCTAGTGTGCATATTTGGATTTTCCCTTCTTTTAGATTATGTCGTTAGGGACAACCTAAAGGTGTCAATACTGTCCTGACTCCTTCATACATGTTGTCAAATTGTCTTTCAAAAGAGCTGTGCTGATTTGTAATGCCACCAATAGTCTGTGAATGTACTCTTGCTGGCATTGACGATCACTAGGCTGTTTTTTCTAGATTGAGTTTCTGTAAATATCAACAATGACTAAGAGACACAGAGTGTGAGCATTGTGCTATCCATGTGCTGAGCATTTTGCACATGTCATCTTACCAGCCTTCTCAATAAGCCTGTGAGTAAGGAGCAATTGTAATCCCCAAGTTAGACCGGGGGAACGGAAGCACAGAGAGATTGAGCCATTTGCCCAAGATCACATGGTTATTAAATGGTGGGCAGGGGTTGGAATTAAGGATGTTTCTCTGGGGAGCTCAGGGGAATCACCCACTTGTACTATCTTGCTATTTAAATGTCCA